TGTACTATGTTGCAGATGATGGGGAAATTATAAATGATGTTCTAAAAATCCCTGTTCAGCTTGTTTTTAAAAATAAGGTAAGAGTTAATGTTTAAACTTTATTTTTATTTTTTGATCATTTTGAGATAGGGTTTCCCTCTAGCAACAGCTGGCCTGGAATTATGCAGACCAGGCTGGCCTTCTCACAGAGATCTGCCTGCCTCTGCCTCTTGAGTGCTGGGATTAACTGTGTGCACCACCATGTCTGGTTTTTAACTTTATTATTATTATTATTATTATTATTTTTTTTTTTTGGCTTTTTGAAACAAGATCTCCCTGTAGCCCCAGCTGGCCTGGAACTCACTTGTAGACCAGGCTAGCCTTGAACTCACAGAGTTCTCTGACTCTGCCTCCCGAGTGCTGGGATTACAGGCGTGCGCCACCATACCCGGCTCTTTAAACTTTATTTTAGTGAACTTTGAGAAATGTAATATTTCTTTACAAAAGCATCAGTAACCATATTGATTAGAAACTTTGAGAGCTATGGCTGTATGTCTTCCTACTCAGCAGATGTGCGTTTTCAAGTTAAACTCTGTGTTCTTATTTGTAAGATCTTGTTCTTGGCTTGAAGACTTTAACTCAAATCCATCAAGTCATTTCAGTGTTTTTCAAATAGTTGAGTCAGTTTTGCTCTGGTGTAAAATTCCAGTAGCAACACGTAATTGTGTGGCCTTGGCCTAGGTGTAAGAGGGAGCCGGGTGTGGGGATGGAGTGAGGCCATTGGAGATCAGTGTGGAAGCTGAGGTGTACTGTGGTATATGTGCTTCATTGGCTGGAAGCTAACCTGGGACAGACATTCAGTGAGCCTGGATCCCTTGTTTGTGAGGATCTGCCCGGACTCTGGTCTCCAGGACAGGAGTGCTTCTTAGGCTGAGTAACCAGCTTGCACAGAAATCCACCTCAGGCCCAATTCTGACAGGAAACCCAGTGGAATCAGCTCACAGTTACCAGAATGAGCAGTTGTTCTCACTAAAACCTGCTGCTCCTCTGGCCTTCTTAACTAACAGAATCATTGTTTCAATGTAGCTGTTTGCGAAGTATAGTTCTACTATTTCCTTACTCTGTAAAAATGTTGAGGAGTAGTGTCAGTTTTGTCTTTCTTTTATTAAGAATTACTTATTTAAATTTTGTCTATGCTAGAGATTAAATCCCAGGCCTCGTGCCTACTGTGCAAATGTGCTGCCGCTGAGGTGCGCCTCAGTCCCGGGGAACCCTAACTTTGTCAAAGTATAATGTAAACTTCTAGTTTTTAATCCTATGGAATGTTTTTTAAAGGAATAGCAATATGTTTTCTTAGTTTCAGGAAAAAATTTTCACTTTAATAATAATCACCTAAAAAGAATGTGAATTTTAGGAAGGAGTCATGGAGACTTTAACAAGAAAACATACCTCTAAAAGTCCAGGCTGCAAAGCTAACCATTCAAACTCACTGACAGGGGAAGCAGAGTATATTAATGACATATTTTCAAGAAATTTCTTGGTTATATGAGATATAAAATTAATTTCAATTCCATCTGCAAAGGTAAATATTTTTTTATAAAACAGTCTCACATTTTCAAAGAGACTGGATAAATGGGATAAATAGGAGGTGTTTAAAGCAAAAACTAGTAAAGAGTTCCTTAAGTGAAAACTGGTGATTGTTGATGTTCAGTGATGACTGTGGGATAAAAGGAATGATAAATGGAAGGACTGGGGGCTGGAGAGATGCTCAGCATTTAAGAGCTGCTCTTACAGAGGACCTGGGTTAGATTCTCAGCACCCACATGGCAGCTAACAACCACCCGTAACTCCATTTCCAGGGGATCCGTAGCCTTCTGACCTCCAAAGGCATTGCGTGACACAAGTGCGCTCACACTACTGTAGCTCAGCCGCACTGAGGGAACATTAAGACCATCTTGGTCAGGCTGTACAATCAAGGGTGCATTTCATTATTAGGACTGAGCTAGATGAAATGTAAGTCCTCAGTAGCCTGACTTCCTCCATGACAGGTGTATGACTGCTAGTCTTCATGAAGTGTTGGTAAAACAGGCTTTGATGGATGTAAGACAGATGAAGTTCAAGCAGCCATGGAGATAGAGTAGTGGGGCCTGATGAATGTTTGGTCTGATCGGTTCTAGAAAGAGCCCCTTTACTGTAGATAGTTCTGTGAGGCCCCAGGGGGCTCATGTATGTGTTACTAAGTCAAGGTCACCAACTCGAAGACCACCTTTTCTTCCTCTTCGCTCTCGCTTCCCTTCTCTAGGAATGTTACACTATTGCCTTGTGTTCAGCGCCAGCTGATGACGAGAATTAGGAACCAGAGAAAGGAAGCACAGGCAGAGAAGCGAAGCCTCAGTGTGTGGGAGTACTTCGAACAATTCTTTTCCTTGGAGAAGGGGTGTATGTGGTTTTAGAATTATCCCTGGGTTGAGGCAAATGTAGAATCATTGGTGTTTGAGTCATTGATCTGCCGCTGGTAAGATATGGAAAAAGTTAAATTAATTCTGCCTTCTCCCTTTCTTAGATAAAACTATTTTGGAGTAAAGCGAATGCCAAGCCATCTGAGAAAGTTTCTCTTAGGGTTTCGATAACACAGCCTGACTCCATAGTTGGGATCCTAGCTGTTGACAAAAGTGTGAATTTGATGAATGCCTCAAATGATATTACGATGGAACATGTGAGTTTAGCTTTTTTTTAAAATTGTGAAAATGTGTTAAAAGAAAAAAATAACTATTGCATTACTTAAGATAGTTAAAGGAAATTCATTATTTCCTCTGAATGTATAAGTCAGTAAACAGGAAAGCCTTCAGAAAAAAAGAATTTGTGTTCTAGTGGTTATGTTGGAGGGAAGTTTATGTGTTTAAATGTCTTCTGTGCCGCACAGAGAAAGACCACTGAAGTTAGATGGTAGGGATGATCCTCCTGAAGTTAGATGCGAGGGATGGTCCTTCTGAAATTAGATGGGAGGAATGGTCCTTCTGAAGTTAGACAGGAGGGGTGCCCCTCCTGAAGATAAGTGGGAGGGATGGTCTTCCTGAAGTTAGATGGAAGGGATGGTCCTGGAGGTCTGCTGTGTGATGGGGGATGAGTGTTAATAATGATGTGCTGTGTACATAAAAATGCAGAAATGATAGATTTTTAAATGATCTCACAACACAAAAATGGTAAAAAAATGAGGTGCTGTATGTATTATCTCAAATTAATCATTCCACAATGCTTAATATATCAGAACATTACATTAAAAATAATTTATTGAGAATTTCATACAGGGATATAAGCGTATAAGGTGTGTTGATCAAATCCATGCCCATGCCGTCCCCTCCAACTCCTCCCATATCTCCCTGTCACTTTTTTCTGATAACTTCATGTGCTCTTTCTTCTTCTTCTTCTTCTTTTTCAAATGGGGCTTTTTGCCATTCTAACATTCCCCCCTCTGAAGAGGTAACCCTAAAATCTTTTAAGGATTAGATAAGAGCTCCCAAATACTTTGGACATTTTTGGCCTTTGGAATGGAGTATGTTGCTAAGAGGCCCAATGACATTTTGAGTTTAGCCAAGAACCTGGCCACTTTTCTTTGGGGTCTTTTTACCCTAACTGCCTAGCCAGTTCCTACCTCTTATTCTTATCACACCAACCTCTGAAGAGGTTACCCAGCTTGCGGATAGGGAATTGGGATGCACACCTCTCTGGTTTCTTTCATGCTGAACAGGGACACAGTGAGGCAATTGGGATACCCCTTCAGTGGGTCTATCTAAAAGACTCCCAAATTGCATAACTCTTATCTGTAGGGGGAAAACAAAGTCCTTGATTGGTGCCTAGGAGATGTGAAGGAGAAGTAAAGGCAAGAGTAATTAGCATAACAAGTTCTAGATAGGGAACTAGAAAAAAATCAGAACAGGGCAAATTTCAAATGTTCATACGAGAGTCCATTGGAATATCTTGATGAGAGCTTCCAAAAACACCTCTCTATTGGGTTCTTCCTCATTTTTCTTTTATCTGCCAAGGCTGGACTCAAGAGTGATGGATTCGGGATTTGCTTTCAGGCATTTTGATAGTTGTTGGAGTGGTTAGAATCAGTGTCAGTTCCCTCTCTCAAAGGCGTCTAGATAGGGGGAGAAAACAAATTTGGTCATCATTTTAGAACAATAGTGTATTGTCTCCTTAGCTACAGGTGGGCACTACAGTATTGGAGACCAAGACTTAACATCTGACATCTGAGCAGCACTTTCTGATTCAGAACAAAATTATCAATGAGAGATAATTGTCTGAATAACTTTTTATATGGACTTAAGCCTAATCTATGAGAAGTATAATCCCTTAACTCTTAAAGAAATATACTGATCACTTTACTCTTTGGCTATACTTCCCTTTTGGGTGTTTTAAGACCATACAGTTGGCCCAAATAAATCAATTTATTTTTACAATGAAGGTTGTTTGAGGATCTGTTCCACAGGGGTCACATGGACTTGGGAGGAGCCCCTGGCTCCTTTATTTTACCAGTTCTGCCTATGTGAAGATAAGTCAAAGGTCCTACTCGACCATGGCTGGCTTCACTTGGAAGCATGGAGGAAATGATTCCT